CCCCCCCCCCGCCGCTCCCCCTCAGTTCTCACTTCTTATTTATCGACACGCCGTTGACATCAGCAAACTGAAACGCCAAAATTCAGCTCCAAATGCCTGGGTTTCCCGGCCAGGTTTGCGCTCCGCTCCGAGCGCCGCTTTTGGTGTTCTTGCCGGTATTCCTGGTACCTTTTGTTTTGCAAACTTTGAGGATTTTATTGGCCAAGTACGGCAACTCGCCCCATTTCGAAATGGGACGGAGAAATCAAATCCCATTTCCTGTCCTTTATTTCTTAAAAAAAAAAACAACAAACTGTCCACGGCGGTGGTGGGGAGTTGATTTGATGCTCCTCACCACCCGCAGAATTGCAGCAGCTGCGTTTCCTGCAGCAGGGGTATTTCTGAAGAAACCAGCGAAATTCGGAGATAGCGACCGAAAGCAGCTCCCCGTGCCCCTAAGCAAGGGGACGGAGTTCTGGTTTGGGGGGCTCGGGGAAGGCTTGTTTCTCGGTGGGGAGGTGGCACCTCTCCAAGCCCCGTTTCCCTTCCAGGTGGGTTTGCAGCTGGACACGGGGGGATGTTCCCGCTGCCTCACCCTGGGGACGAGCCAGGGTCGCGCAGCCACCGCCGGCTCTGCGCCAAGTAAAGCCAACGCCTTCGCCTGCCTGGCTTTTTTTTTTTTTTTTCCCTGTTTTTTTTTTTTTTTTTTTTTTTTTAAAGAACCCCTAAAATTCCCCCGTGGTGTCACGGAAAGGGAGCGGTGGTAACCGTCACTGGCAGAGCTCTCCCCGCTCACAAGCCCCAAATGTCAAAGGCGGGGGAGAAGGCGTTTGTGCTCAGGGAGGGGGGAAGAAAAAAAAAGAAAAAAAGGAAAAAAAGCAAAGTCAGATCTAGCTGGGGAGGAGAGGGGTGTGAGGAAGGGGAGGGGGGTGAGAAGGAGCTGACACGGTCCCTCTCCGCTTCCAGCGAAGCGGGAGCGGCTCTTCTTCATCCCACTCTCTTCATCGCCGCTTTGCCGGGAACCTCCCGGGCTCCCCCCGCCCCGCACCCCCCCGCACCCTGCGGGGCAGCCCCGGGACCTGCCGACCTCCCCCTGCCCCTCGCTCACACCCCCCCCCCCGGGCTCGGCCAAGCCCCCCCCGGGGGGTGGGGGCCGAGGACGGGTGGCGGAGCCACCTCCGTTCCCAAAAGTGGCTCTCTGCGCGGGCAAGCCCACAGAAATGGGCTCGAAAAGCCCGATTTGGGGGAAACCTGTGGAGGGAACGGACGTGACCTGCGCCTGAGAGCGGAGCTGAAGGATCAGCAGCCGCAGTTAACACCAGTCACTTCCACCGAGATTTTGGGGCTTTTATTTTATTTTTTTTTTTTCGGGCTGGAAACTTTTTTTGGGTGTGCCTAGAGCTGCGTAATTTCGTAATTATTTTTTCAGACACCGTTGTCTATATCCAGCCTGTGCGACCAGGTTGTTAAAGACTGGATGATTTTTTGCTCATTACCAACTGGATCTTTGCAAGGTTTAATTAAGCCCCGTCCGCCTCGTCACGTTTCTTTTCCCGAACAAACTAAGTTCTCTGCTCGGGACTGCTCTGTATTGCGGGACCGAAAAGGTACGATGCGATGTACGCAAAATGATTGTAGCCTTTCGGGATGTTACCGAGGTTAAATGAAAGTCCCGGGACGGTAAGGGCAAAACGCTGGTAGCTGTCCAAGAAGAAAAATCGTTATTTTTAATTGAGTCGAGTTTTGGTTTTGGTTTTGGGTTTTTTTTTGTTTTTTTTTTCTTTCCTAGTGTAGCTGGAAAGTGTCTTTGTTCTGGATAAATTAGTGGAGGCTTTAAAACGTGCTCGTCACGATTGACTGCCGGGGGGGTCTATACAGCGAATAATGACAACCCTTAGCACAGAAGTCCAGTAACCTGGGTTGGGATAGCGGGGTCCCAGCGACGACTTGGCTTTTCCTGGGTTTGGGTTTTTCTTTCTTTCTTTCTTTCTTTTTTTTTTTTTTAAACTTTCATTATTTCAAAGCTGTGGCCAGGAGCAGGGGGTGTAATTTCAGAAATGCCCCCCCGCCACCGTGGGCCCCCGGGCCGCTTCTCTCCAGCCGCACATATGAAGTTTCTCTCCCCTTTTCGTTCCCCGGTCCAAAGATTTGACTGATAATAACTAAATCTCTGTGTGACGGCTCGCTTTCGTCCCAGGCTCAACATCCAGCTCATCCCCTCGACGTCAGGTTTCTCAGCGTCCCGTTTTCGGACACCTTTTCCCTCGGAGATGTCCCCCAGCCCCTATTTTTATGTGTGTCCCGCCCCTCCCCGTCCCTCTCCCGCCCCAGTGGCACCGGGCTAGCGGTTTCGTCTCTTGTCAGACTTCGCGTAGATTTGGGCGTAAATTCAGGTACTTGGAGCTCTGCAGTCGACCGTGTTGTCCTCCTCTTTGGCATAATTAAATTCAGCGATTTTAAATCTCGTCGTTAAAAGTACCGAATGCAAATACTCGGCACCCTGGGTGTCTGCTGGTACTTTTATTACTCCCGGCACATACGGAATTATTTGACATATAGAAAGAAGCGAAGAATCGCCTCCTTTTAGCAGAAGGTCAAACGGTGCAATTAAGCAAAAAAGTTCAGAGCCAGGAAATGCTGGGATATCGCTGTAAAAAAGCAGCAGCAACCGGGGTTTTTGGTGTTTTGTTGGTTTGTTTTTTTTTTTTTCCAAATGTAACCGCCTTTTGGACTTGAGGTCGCTCGGTTATTTACTCGTCCGGGGGAGATACCGAGCTCCCGAGGGGCCCGATTCTGCTCCCAGGGCAGTTCCCGGTGAGGTTGGGGGGGTCCCGGCACTGAAGCCATGCCGCCCTTCCGCTTCGGTCGGGCGAAGCGGGGTGGGGAGCAGATCTGCTCCCCAGGCTTCGTTTGGGCTTCCGGGAAAATGAGTGGTTACGGTAAAATATTCAAATTTTCATAAAATATTCAAAAGCTCGGGTGAGAAACTTTCCGGTGGGCTGGAAATCCGTAAGGACAGAACCGAGAGTGAGACCACCCCGACGAGTCACTTCTGACTCCCTGCAAAAAAAAAAAGCCAGAGGAACTTTCAGGACCGGGTAGTTAACGACAGTCATTGCCACCCCGCTCCGCTCAACCCAAAATGTGCCCCTTCGGGGCAATTTCAGACTCGCCTATTTTCGCCCACCCCTCCTTTAACACCCCCTCCCCCCCTCGGTGCGTCCTACCCCCGGTAGCGGGCTCTCCCAGCGGCCGGGGTTCGTTTTTTCCCCGCTGCCCCCCGGCCCCCCCCGGCCGCCCTGTGCCGGGCAGAGGGACCGGGGACCCCCCGTCATCTGCCCTGCTCTCCCCGGACCGGGACGAGCCGTTCTGCAGGGCTGCAACTACTTTCAAGTCATTAGTGCTTCTTAGTTTTTTGGGGGTTTCTTTTCTTCTCTTTTTTTTTTCTTTTTCTTTTTTAATAGTTTCTCTGCACCAGCCTCTTATCTTTTTCTCGCAGACACTCGAGCCAGTGAAACCAGTGGGCGTGCAGGCAGTTGCGGAGATCTCGCTTTTCTCCTTCTCTCCTCTAAAGGCTGCGGTTAAAGAGCTGGCAGCGCGGTGATCCCGCTCCAGCTGCTGCTGCTGGTCAGTACTTACCACCCGACAGTCCTTTATCTCCCGGGTTCAGCTTATTATTATTATTTTTTTTCCCCGGGAGGAAAATGCAAAAGAAATTTGTGTTCGGCCATTTTCTGCAAGCTTGACCCCCCCAGCTGCGGATTTATCCGTGCTCGGACTTCCCCGGGGCGGGGGGGGGGGCTGAAGCGTTGCTGGCGTTTCCCTGCGCACGGTAATTCTGCAAACAAGCGGCACAGCCGGGCTGCAAAGCGACCTGTGGGTCCCATCGGCAGAGCCCCCGGCTCCTTTCCCCCTCTGTGTCCCCGCGGCAGTGGCCGTGGGCTGTCGCGGGCCACGATTAACCCTTCCCGTGGCCCTGGGACTGTCACCGAGGGGTGCGCTCGGCGAGTCCCTCCTGGCTGGGACACGGGGCGAGGCGGGGGGAACGCGTGGGGGGAAGATGGGCACCCGCGGAGGAGCTGGGACAGTGCTGGTACTGTGCTGGGACAGTCCTCGGCTCTGCTGGGAAAGCATGGGACAGCGCTGGGACAGTCTGGGACTGTGCTCGGGCAGTGCTGGGACAGTTAGGGTAGTGCTGGGACATCCTGGGATGGTGCTGGGACAAAGCTGGGGCAGGCTGGGACTGTCCTGGTGCAGTCTGGGACAGTGCTGGGACAGTTAGGATAGCGGTGGGACTGTCCTGGGACAGTCCTAGGAGACTTCGGATAGTGCTGGGACATCCTGGGACGGTGCTGGGACGGTGCTGGGAGAGGGCAGCGCCAGGAGGAGCGAGCGGCCGAGCCGGGTCGGGGGCAGGCAGGGCAGGGAGCGGGGGAGCTCGGCTTCCCCCGTTCCAGCGGAGAGCTCGCCGGGGACACCCCCGGCCCCGGCCGCCCCTCCCCGCGCCCTCCGGTACGAGGGGCTGCCGTGCCCGCAGCCCGGGTCTCTTCCAGGCGAACGCCGGTGGCGAGCCCCGGAGCTCGGAAAGGCGGCTGGGACCACCGGCCCCTTCTGGCTCCTCCGCTGCTGCCCCGCTACCCCTGGCCGTCTCCTCCCTCCTTTGGCTGGGGGTTTTGGGGGCGTTGGGGGTTTGGTTTTTTTTTAATTTTCCCTCCTGGAGACCCCCGGCTGCTGCCCCCCCACCTCCTCGCCAGCTCCGGTCCGTCCGTGCGGCTGCCCCGGAGCGGCACCCCGAAATGCTCCGGCTAACAGAGCTCCTGCCCCTGCCTTTGCGGTGGCGGAATCGGGCCCCTTAGCTGGAAGGGAAAGGGCAAAAGGCAAAGATAAAAAACTGCCATACACTTTTTTTTTTTTTTTTTAAATTATCTTTTCAACGTAGAGTTCTGTTTGCATCTCAGCCGTGGCCTTCTAGAGCTCCCGAGCAAGCTGAAAGCTGCTGGAGTACCTTCTGTATCTGCGAGTGTGGGACAACGGTTCTAGCAGTATATTTATTATTTAGAGCCATATTTATTATCCACATTTATTATATAGAGCTATATCAAAGATGTCAACACTCATCTATTGAACTTGAGAATTATTTGTGCTCTGAAATGCCGGTGGCTCTGAAAAGATGTTTTCTTCATTACTTTTGCTTAGATATCGATACAAAATGCAGGTCTTTCTTGGCCAGGTGCATTTAGCAGACCAAATTAATTAAAGATGTGTGTTTCGTACAATCCCACAGGACAACTTTAGTCACCAGTGAAATTTTATTTGACTTGGCAATGTAACAGTGGGGATTTGACTCATCAAGATGTAAATTAAGAGTAAACAGAGAAAAAATGCTTCTCTGCATATATCTGAATGTATATTTCCTCATTTTAATAGATAAATATTACTTCTCAGTCATAAATTAATAAGCGCTCTAGAGGGAATTCAGGGAAGAGTAACCAAATGATTAGTGTACTAAAGGGCTAATGTATGGAGAAACTTTGTTCAATATCTGTAACATACATCTGCATAGCTAAAAATGAAAGTAGTTTGGGCAATGAAATGTATGCGTTTGTGGCCGGGGAGATTTGCAATGTGCAAAGGTAATAGTACTGCTCCTGCTGAAGTGCTCATGCGTACTAGCCGTGCTCAGGGCTTTAGGATGGCCCTAGGTTCCAGCCTAGAATTCAAACTGGTTTTGGGTTGTTGCTTCAAGGTATGCCAACTTGAGAGAGAAATGAGATTTCTGAAGCTTCACATGCCTGTCCTGTTGTATCATCTAACCCTATGTGACTTAATGTGCAACTACATATTTGTCACTCTTCTGAGAGTCCAGATTTTCTCACGTATTTCACAGCAATTGAAGCACTTGATCTGGGACTTTGTATCCTACCTTAGAGGCTAGGTCCCTGAAGTCTGGATATGGTAGCATCTAGCGTATTGGTACTGTACCAGTTATGTTTCTTTGAGCTTATATTGCAGTCATTCTTCCCCACAAAGAAACAAAAGGGTGTTGGGGAAAACATCCGAAGGAGAAGAATGTGTCCTCAGGATTAGCATTTCTTCACTTTAATAAGTATTTTTGAAATTATTTTTATCATCAGCTTTTACATCCTGTTCTTGTTTGTATGTTGCCTCCTTGGCTTACTTGGGTAAGATCACTTTTGGGGAGTCCAGAAACCATCTAACTCATTAGACCAATTCTGTATACTAACTTACAGTGATTATGGAGAGTTGTAGCGTGCTTATAAAATGTAAGTCATGCCATAGCCATGATGGCTTAAGGATGTAAGCAAGACAGATAAAAATTATAAAATATTATATGAAAAGGAAGTCTTGTTAGTTATTAAAAGCATGTCAGTGTAAAATGATGTTCAGAAGGTATTTGCCCATCGCAAAATCATCACCTTATTTTAGTAAATGCAACTTGCCTTTTATTACACCTCAAGGAGTGGCTCAACTCTGTGTGACGCTACAAAAGCTCTAAGTTAACACAATCAGCACATCTTTGTATAGACCCTTGCTTTCCACATGTAACACACAACCGTTTCTAGTACAACTTGGCTATCTCTGGTACAGATCTCAGGAAAGAGACCAGCAACACCTGATTCACTGCCCAGAAGTATGCTTCTTTCAGAAACTTTGGCAAAGTTTTCTATCTGAGACTCTCATCCATCTGAGAGCATCTTGAATTATTTGGTGCTTGGGTAGCTCGTATGGGACCATAGGCCTGGATCCCCAAATGTCATCTGGGATCCTTGGGCATCTGACTCCTGTTTAAGTATTTCTTGTCAGGGAGTAGGACATAAGTATCTGAGTAGCTTTAGATTTTGAGCCTCGTTTTTTTTTCTTAGGCATTATATCAAAGATCTCTCGTTGCACCTGTAAATGTACATTTACTAGAAAGTAACCCTGGACAGGAATATCCTGCTTCTAATGAAGGGGTTTCAGCTGCTCCGGTCTAGTGTCCTGCATGGCACAGTTAGAGAACTGAGCCTCATTTTGTAATTGGCAGGAGGTGAGACTATTGTAGAAGTAAATCTCTTTGCTCCCGAGAACAGCAGAGAAGCATCAGTCTGTTGAAAAGGCACTTAGAGCCTCCAACGTTAAGCCCATACAACTTCATTTGGAAGGAAAAAGAAGAAATCTCAGAAAGGGTGGAAGAAAGTATGGGTGGGGAAAAATGAAAAAAAGTGGGGTGGGGTGGCACGACAAGAATGAGAAGAGGAAGGCGTGCGTCTGAGATATCCAGGGTCATATATAAATCAATATGTAACTGGGCAACTTACATAATGCTCTCAAAACTCATATTGTAAATAATATGACAATAGAAAGAATCGTAGCTGGGGGATATTTTCGTGAGTATGGGGAGGTGGAAGTTTTGTGCTTCTCTTCAGTAGAAACTAGTTTCAGCTGCACTGGAGCCATTCATTAATGCAGTGCCACTCGGGAGGCCTTATCTGAAAGCAGTTATTACGTCTTCATAATAATTTTGAGGAAGAAAAGACTTTTCATTGTTGTCATAATTAAAATAGTTATTTTCATTACATTTTTTCGTTTATTTCTAAATTTGGATGGCTACTGCAGGAGCAGGTGCAGGATATAACATCAGTCTGAGCAACTGGCCTATCTCAGCGTCCCAGGAAAATCAGCTGCTTGCCCACCTCATGCCAAGTTTGAGTGAAGAAATGGCCCTTGCGTGGTCTCCCAAAGCTCAACAGGTTGAGGGTCAATCAAAGGCTTCCTATCAGGCAAGAAGCAATCTGCACTGGGGCCTTCCTGTAACAACGAATGCCTTCCCAGAAGCTCTCGCTGACAAATTAGAATTCATAGTACTCTGCCTGAATGTGTTTTATCATGCAGAAGGCAATTACATGGAACCAGTTTAAAATACATAGGTTATTGATATCACATAGGTATGCACGCTAATTGTATCAGCTGATTGAAGAAATGAGACAAGGCTAATTAGCAGAATTAGGGTTTTTTAACAGTAGCTCTGAACGTTCTCCTGCCAGAATTGCTGCCCTCAAAGAGCTTTCTAGAATACATACATGCTCTTGCCACCTTACTACAAAAGTAATCTACTGGGAAAATCTGTGATTGGCTCTACTCCTTCCCTTTGGAGCCCTAGATCTCCGAGGAAGGAAAATAAGCATGTCATGTGAAAACCCCCTAAAGTTTGTACTTGATATTTTAACTTCCCTTTGCAAGGCAGCTGCTGCATCTGCACGTGTGGGAATCTGGTGAGCCACACAATCTTAGGCTGAGGATTTCTATTCACTAGGGATTAGCTGAACTGTTTTCCTAAATCAGTCACCAGATCTGGATTCCAAATTAACAA